GATAAATGAATTCATGTTTTTTGTTCCATAATTTTGGATCATGACATTAATAGAATGGAAGATTTTGAAAATGTCATTGACCTTTTAATTGATATGTAAATATTTTGTATACAGACCCCTTGGTACCTTTATTAATATAATATCATACTACACTTTAATTTTTTTAAAAAAGACCATTAATCAAAAACTTTTAGTGGGGTCTCTATAAGATGCTTGGAACATTACAACTAAGATGGTTTAAAGGTGAAATGTCCACAACTGATAAATCTATCCTCTAGAACTGCAACTTATAAAGTTCATAAATGGTGATTATTTATTGTCTTTCTTTCTTCCTCTTCCTAATTGCATCAATCTTTTGAAGATCTATGTTATTAATTTCTAATTTAGTTTATCTTTTCAGTTGTGAATGTTTAATGTTATTAGGAATTTGACTGTACATGTGATGCATATGGTATATTTTCTTCAGGCATTTGCGAGGATTGAGAATCATTATTTTGTGAACAAAGGATTCTTTCCTTCAGATTCATACCTGCTAGACAATGTTGATAAGATAAGGCATATTAACACTACAATTGTTCAGGTACATGGTTCTGTAAAATTCTTAAATTTGAATATGCTTTCTCCTGTCAAAAGCTGTAATTTCACATGAATAGATAAATTTGATTTAAATATAGCTTATTGGAGAATATTTTAATTGTTGAATGCTCCCTACCTTCTCTTTTCTTTCTGCATGCTGCTTGCAAAGTGCCTGAGAGAGAGAGGGAGAGAGGTCTTTACTTCTAAATGACTATTCACAGAAAAGGTCACCAAAGTATTGACAGTGAAATATACTCTTTTTTGCTTTGATGGTACATATCAGGCAAGATACAATAATCTCTAGCACAGTGCTCGAATCCTTGCAAGGGTAAGATGTTTCATGTCCTGACATTGATGGACTGAGTGTCACCATTGACAAAACCCCTTTATGAGCATACTGCACCTCAAGTGTTTTGTTTTTAGTAAATCATGATTGATGCATATGGATCTTCAAGCAAAAAAAACTGTAAATTTTAAATAAAGAATTATTTGCAAAATACAATTTTAATGAGACAAGTTTCATGTGTGATTGAGTGGGTTAAGTACATTGGGCAAATGGAATTTCCATAAAATAATTAGACAAACAAATGAAAGGTGTCATCTGCATTTTGATTACTTATTGATAGTCGATACTTGTGGAATTACTTGTGGAAGTGCATCATTTATTTTTCTTTTGCAGGCCTAAATTTAAATGCACTTAAGAATTAGGTATATTAGATCTATGTTAGATCTTCAACAACAACCTATTTTTTGAACTACATTTCTGTTATTTTCGTTTTAAAAAATTTATTTTCAACTTTATGTTGTCTTTATTCTCAAACTTAATATCTTATCCTACCTTACACTATGCTATGAATGTATTAATCTTTCATCTTTGATGTGGAGAAACATCAGGTGTTTAATGAAGAGTGGGTGTGTAATATTGTTAAATAGTATGTGACTGTGCATTTTGGTGAATAGAATTGATATACATTTTCTTGTCTCCAAAAAAAAAAAAAAAGAGCTGATGCATATTGTTAAGAAGAAAGTCAGTGGTATAGAACAAGCGAGGTAGACCAACTTATGCGATGATAATATCAAATTAGAGGATATTTATGTTTAGGAAATGGAGGAAATAAACAATTAAAATGAAGAAATACATGGGAGAAATAGGCAGAATGGGGTAGGCTAGAAACGACAGGAACTAGAAAGATAATACAAGAAAAGTAACATGGAATAGAAACCTGGTGTAATAATTCTCTATTCGACTTTGCTTACTATTCTTTACTCAATAATACATAATAATAATTAAAAAACACTCTTTTAATGCTAAAATTGGTCTAATTTAAGAATCTTCTTATTATATTCATCAAACTTATATCCTTTTTTAAGGAAAATTTTTTTGTGCTCTACTCAATAAGAATTTTGCCAATGATAGTTCTTCATTAATTTATTTTGTATTGTGTCGAAATGGTGGAGAAGCAAATTGGTAGCATCTTTTTCTTCCTCTAAATCTGTTTGCAAATTACTCGCATCTAGGTAAACTGACCCTTTTAATTAATTTTTACATCTTTATGTATATAGGCATATGAAAGTTATTGCTGTTAGACTGGCAAAATGCATGTTATATAATTGTTGCATATGAGCATGCGGTATGCCTCTTAGCAGGTACTTTAGAAGATAAGTCTGAGGGCGTTATATTTTGTGCAGGGAAGATATGATGTTTGCTGTCCTATGATGTCTGCTTGGGATCTTCATAAAGCATGGCCAGAAGCAGATTTTAAGGTAAAAGTTTTAATCTAAGGCATAATGTTGGTTTCTTAGTTCTATTCATAATAAGCGAAGACTGGCAGTATTTGTAGGCAACAAGTAATCAGGGGAAATGCTGCCACTCTAAACATAACATGATTCTTTTCTTCGAGGAAGGAAAGATATTATCTGTTTAGGAAAAGCTGCCACATTAGGGGTGTGATTTTTTGAAGGGATTTGGTCAGGACTACAAAATTTAAATTTTAAGTGTTGAAATGTGATAAAAATGTAGGTTTTTATATAGAGGTTGCCAGAAGAAATCAAGTCCTTGGAATAAAAATCTTTACTCTATATGAACTTGGAGGACTGGAAGTATTCTTGATGGCTACTTTGATTCATCGTGGTTAATATTATTTGAGGTTTGAAGCTGACGAGGAAACTTCAGCTCCATGCAATGATTTCAATCTATACAATTTCCTCAGAGAACTTTTAAATATATGCTGAAAAATGGTCTGCTAATTTTTTAATTGAATCTGAAGCAGTTGTCCTTTTATGTTACTGACATGAAGAACTAAACTTGAATATAAATGGTAGGTTGTTGCAGATGCAGGACATTCTGCAAACGAACCAGGAATAGCGGCAGAACTTGTGGCTGCAAATGAAAAGCTGAGAAACTTTGTCAAGAATAATGGACCCTGAAGAGAATTCAGCATGCTGTCCCAAGTCAGGAATGTGAAGTATAATTTATGAAAAGCTGAGGACCTTGTCACCTATATGCGCCATTGCTATCTAAAACAAACGTAGGTAGTCATAGTTTAAGTTATACAGTTTGAGAGTAAAGAGACCCTCATTGGTTTGTGAATGTTGCCTGCCCTTTTCAACTTCTCTTTTTTTATTTCTTCAACTCATGAGAGAGCACCATAAGAACCGCTGAATAATGACTGGGCAATTAGCTGTTGCCCTGACTGGGTGCTGGAAAATTTACAATGGGGTTTTTGAAGTAAATTTACAGTAGGGCATTAAGCCTCAAACCAAATAAGTTATTGAATGTGGTAATGCCTTTAGCATGTTTGAACTGATTGTGGTATGCCAGTAGGGAGTCAAAGGTGGCGATAAAAATGCAATGAACTGCATAAGATGCTTTAAGATGCTTCTATCTTATTTACCTTTGGTGAGGTCGCCCCTTTGAGAAGGCCCAAACTTGTCCATGTTTAAACTGAAACTGTAAACTGCACCGGTTTATATCAAGTTCGGGGATTTTTATTATATATTGGTCTTAATATTAAACTGATTGTGGTATGCCAATAGGGAGTCAAAGGTGGTGATAAAAATGCAATGAACTCCATAAGATGCTTTCAGGTGCCTGTTCGGTTTCATCATATTTTCCTTTGCTGAGGTCGCCCCTTTGAGGGCGCCCAAACTTGTCCATGTTTAAACTGAAACTGTAAACTGCACCTGTTTATATCAATTTCGGGGATTTTTATTATATATTGGTCTTAATATTAGCAATTACTTTTTTTTTTTTTCTGGGTTCAAGTTATTTTCATTCTCACTTTGAATTTTGTTCAAAATCAAGTTCCATTCCTACATGGAGACATAAGAGTTAAAACTCAAGTTTTCAATTCTTAAAATAGGAAGGATTTATGTTCACGTTCATATTTCTAATTCTTGTGGGAAATTCTTATGAGAGCGGTTGTTTGTCTGTACTTTTAGAGTTGTGGTAACAAATTCATATATGGAATAATAGTTACTTTACAGCATCCAGGTAAAGAAAAAGACATTGGTAGAGATTAATTATATGGAGAAAGACATGGAGAAAGGAAAATTTGCTTCTTTTACAATGAAATACTATATATAGATCTCACTACTACAAGCTTACAAACAATTGCTTTTAAGCAACTTGTCAAAAGTTTTTTTTAAGATTTATTTGGATAAATTTAAGTGATAACAATAACATAAAATTATAATAATAAATTTTTTTTTATGTTAATGACATATTTTTGTTTGAACGATAAAATGGTATAGTTGTATTTTTAACTAAATTACTAATTTATCTTTATATATTTATCAATATAATTATATTTATATTTAAATAAATAATTATTATTTATATTATTAAAATTAATTTAATAAATTTTTAATTATCAGAATATATATGAAATTAATTAAATTAGACGAGTATATAATGAAAAATAAATAGAATGCCCACTAAATACTACTAATTTGGTAGTTTAAAAATTTATCTCAAGATTTACGATCAAATATTATTTGTTACCATTGAAAGTTAAAATAAACACGAGTTTTTCACACCCATAAAATACTATACATTAAAATTCTATCATGATCCAAACGGTTAAAGATTAAAAATAATAGTATTAACAAAACAGAAGTGCTGTAGCTCTCCCAAAAAAGAAAATCAAGCAATAAAATATCAATTCAATAAAACAATTGAACAGCTACATGTTATCTTACAAGGGTGTAAACGTAGCTATGGCGTAGACGGTGATTTAACCATTCTCCGTGTGCAGTCTTTTGGCAGATGGATACTATGAAATTTTGGCTCCCTTGGAATGGTGGTGGCAGGTTGCCTTCTTTCCTGTGACATTGACCTAGAAGCAATAGAAGCAGGGGAAGCACCATTCTCATTTGGCTTTCCCATTTCTTTAGGTTTTGAGGTTTCCATCATTACACCGAGTTGACGTGATGTCGCGGGAGAAACCCTTTTCTTCCTACCTGATTCGATCCTGCAAGAGCAGGCTCTCATTTGGCTTTCCCATTTCTTTAGGTTTTGAGGTTTCCATTATTACACCGAGTTGACGTGATGCCGCGGGAGAACCCCTTTTCTTCCTACCTGATGCGATCCTGCAAGAGCAGGTTCCTAGTATTAGTTTTTAGAATACGTAGCTAATATGATGGCGAGCATTTTAGAATCAATGGTGTTGTTTTACCCTTGAGATACTGCGGGTTGTTTCATGAGTGTTGATTTCGTCCTTCTCAAACTTCTCTCAGATTTCTGTTCAGCTTTTTCCTTGCTGCAATCAGTCTCTGATGCCAGAGGGTTTATTTTCTGGAACATAGAGACAGTAAATCTCCGGTGGGTTGTAGATGATTTTGGTTTCACAGCTCCTTTTGTTTTAGAGCATGAGGTTCCACTTCCCTGCTGCAAAATAGAATGTGTTGCAAGAAATTTGTAAGTCATATGAATTAGCAATCAACAGGAACTATTTTTCCATTTTCTCCCTATATCTCTCAAGAAATATCCTTACGGTTTCGTCCTTGAGAATCTTTGTGTCTGATTCAACTTCTCTGTCCTGAAGTGTCTGATTGGCACATTCCATTTGTCCAATGCACTTCTTATTTCTCTATAACCAAAGACCAAAAAGAAAGAAAAAAAAAAAATCAGTCTGGTTTAGCGGTAATATGAAAATATATATCTCAGTTTGGAAAGCCTACTTGTCCAGCATTCTGATGTTTCCGTTGCGAGGTTCTACCAGAGACTCCAGGAACCATTGTTATGTCTTTGGAGGGAGTAAGAACGTTTAGTTTTCTATCCATGTTTGCTTCCTTAAGAATTCTCCTTTCCTATTGCATAACACAATAATCAGTCACCTCCGAAGATTGTTCTTTTAAATACTACATAATAAACCTCATAATTTTACATACATCAGTTCTTAGCCGAAAAGGCTTGGGATTCGTGGGCTTAGGTTTCCTGTATTTCACCCCTTGTACACCAGTGGTGGAGCTGTCTTTGGGTGTCTTGGCACTTACTTTGGTCACCTTCTGCATTTCAAGTGTTTAAAGATGTCAAAACCATGACAAACTGAAACTGATATAATGTAAGAATAATACAAATATCATTTTCCAATAAAGAAACTACCTTTTGGGTGGTTTTGAAAGTTTCTTGCTTCCCAAAATGTTTCTTTCTTTCAAAGTGATCCGCATTTGGGTTGAGTTTTCTGCAATCGTTTTGAATAATATCAGTTATCATTAGTAAAAAAACATATGAATTAGTCATGACACCAGTTGCTTACCTGTTATCATTGGAGGCTGAAGCATTTTCTTTGTCGTCACTATCTGTGAGTTCATTTTCGTGTCTGTTAGGTTCAGCAACCTTATTGTTTTCTTTCCCATCACTCTTCTTGATTTTAGAGATCTCCTTTTGCTTTGAACTTGATTTGGTTTTCGTTTCAAGGTCATCTCCTCTATCTGTGTTAGCCTCTCGCGTCGTATCTTGTGACTCGGGTGCTTTATTGTCCCCTGTATTTATCTCTTCAAAATTCGATAAGGAGGTCAAGCCGCTGCTGCGTGCATCTGATACAGTTTCAATTTTTTTTTCACCCGAGGGATTTCCATTTTCTTTGTTGTCTTTTGAAGTACCTGATGCACAGGGCACATCAAGGGAAACTGCTTTTGGTTTCTCCTCAATCTCCAGGTCGCTTGAGTCATTGTTAATCCCTTCACGAGGCAAAGGGCGAGAACATAACTTTGATTCTTTCCCCTTGCTCTTTCTCTTCAAACATTTAATTGCTTCCTGGCCCTTACTGGTTTTAGAAAGCAAGGAATCATAGACCCGGCTTTTAATCTCTCTTCCTTTCCGCTGTTTTCTCGGTGCTTCTACAGGCAATGGTTTCTTATTGGGACCCAAAATCTCTTGCTTTGTGTTAGTAATTTCAAGTTTCTTCATCCCATCGCAGAGTTTTCTCATAGAGGTGCCTAGTTCTACTGATTGTTTCAACTTCACTGTCTTCTTTGGTGATGGAAAGACCAAAGCTTTTGCTACCACGCTATTATTTGGTATTGCAATGGTTGTGGCTTTTGGGTTTCGAATACTTCGAAAGGTAGCTGGATTTGAGCGACTATTTTTATTCCTTGGAGTAGTTAAAGCCTTTGCTACGGCAGCTGATGGCTTTGCCGTTGCATTTGGAGTTGCATTCTGCTTAGATATGGTTTTCACCTTAGCATCGACCATCTTTTGAGAAATGGATGAAATCATTGCCAATTTGGATACTCTAGATTTGGAAGATTTTGCAGGAACTGTTTGAGGACATTTCATATTTTTACTAGCAATTTAGAAAAAATAAATATTGTTAACTAGGAATCCGATAAGCACAATTGTCTAAAACTGAATAGAATTGAAAGCTCTGCATTTATGTACCTTGAGTCCTTTCTACATAATGCTTTTCGAAGACCAATACTAGGACTTCTTGCTGCCATTACCTGTAAGATTCAACACTGTTAAAATCGAAATTAATGAGTTATTATTGAAAAACAATTTATAGAAGGAAGAAAACTGCTAACCCGAAGAACAAAGTTTTTGTAGATTGCTTCGGGATCCATTTCTTCTTCATGCTTTTGGTCACATCCTAAGGTAAATAACAAAGAGAAAAAAGACATCAAATTATTAAGCTTAAAACTTACTATATACATACGCGAAAGCCTATTAAATGTTTGTAAATATTCACATCTCATTCCTTATAAGAAAAAACTTAAACCCTAATTTCAAGTTTTGTTGTTCCAATTTGTATTATGAACAATGGATCTTCCTCTGTTCTGCAAGACACATGAATCCAACCAATAACCTCTCTGCATTTCTCGCAGTAAATAAATTGACTCACAACACCTGTAATCACCTATGCAACTTTATCGGTTGATTTTATTCATCATTGATAGCTAAATCAAGGCATATCCATTCTTCTTTTATATGCTACTATGTGTCTCAAGTAACCTTTTTCTTCTCTGTAGCAACAGCAATTTAAAAGCACTCTCATTTTTCTTTCTATAATTCTACTCCATATTCTTTCAACCAAACAGAGGACCGAAAGCGAAGGCAATTAAACTCCATTGCTGATGCTATTACTGATAATGAACTTGAGATTCCGAAAAGTTCAAACGAGGACTATACATGAAACACGAGAACCATGAAAGAAAACAAAAAGCATAAGAAAAAACTGCCTGATAATGAATTTGAGACACCAAAATCCGTGTAAAAATCCAAAAAGATCCAACTAAAATTCCAAAAGTTGAAGAAGAAGTACACACCAACCCGTGAACAGAACCAGTAACGATCGTCATGTTCACGGCGGTCGCGATCCGGTGCCGTGAGATCCACGAACTTAGGTGCCTCTAGCTTCTCGTAGAACTCGTCGCCGAACTCTTCCTCATCGTTGATCTCCATCATCGACGGCCCAGTCTCTTCCATTTTCAAATGAGAAACTATACTGAGTAAGAAAAGGTTTCGTGTATGGAGGAGGAGCGGTGTTGTGTTAGTGGATTTTGGAGTTCTCTGGCTGTGGAAACTGCAAAATAGTGAAGTGCCCGAGGAGATTTTTAAACCTGTAAAGCCTCTCTCTGTAAGTAGCCGTTGGGAAAAGAAGACGTTTGGTTCAGACATAGTTGTCATAACAGATAAAGTCTAAGGGTACTTTCGTCCGTTAAATTAGTACGGGTCTACCAGCTACCGGCCCCAACATTATTTATATTAAAGGCGAATTAGAATTTTAGCCACGTTTATTTCTAAAAAATTAAAAGTTTAAAATTAAATAATATGATAATTTTATTATTCTAACCACTATATAAATACCATTTTGGAAATATATATATATATTTTAATTGTACATGACTCCACACAAAAATATACAAATTCATTGACAATTAACATTAATATTTAAAGAATAATAATGAAAAGAACATAGAATTTAGAAATAATAAAAAAATATTTTAGTATTTAATAAATTTTTATTTATATTGATTGTTTTATAGATAGACATTAGTGACCATGTTTTATGAAGAAAAAAAAATAGATAAACTCATATGAATTATGAAATAAAAATGGAAAAAAAAAGGTATTCTTACATATGAAAGGAGTATTGTTTTTCTTTTCCTTTTTTCTATTTTAATAAATAAATATATCAAAAATATAAACTAGATTTTATAAAACATTGAGGTTGTACTTTAGAAAAAAAAATTTATAAATTTTATAAAAATTCATTCACAAACTTGTATTTAAATTAATTAAAAATATAAATTTATTAATATCATAAAATTAAATTTATATAAAAATTCATGTAGAATTAAAATAATATGTCATAAGCATTATAAAGTACAAAGCTTACTGTAACTGCTCCGAAAATTTAAAAAAAAATACATATAATAATCTGAGAGTTTGAAACAAAATAAAAAATTAAAGTTAACATCCCTTACACAATAATTTAAAAGTACTAAATAATATCGCGGAATAAGTTCTCTAAAAGAAATGCGACAAATGAAAAAAAAAATAAGGAAAACTATAAAGTATCTAGCATCTACTCGCTGTCTTCTTGTGGATCGGGCTCGGGAACCAGGTTTTCCTGATTTGAAATGGTTAAATAAGGAATGAACTATACTAGCCCAGTAAGGACATCACACTATATCACCGTCACAGAAGTAAAGGTTGATAGAAAACAAAAAACAACCAATAGAGCACAAATTTTAAACTAATACATTTATTTAAAATAAAACCACTCATCCTTTTTCTTACCCTTGGAGAACTTGTGAAAACAACCTATAAAGACAATAACATCATACAGATCACAATTTCATGCATAATCAATAATATAAAACATATCATAAATCCGTATTCATTAATAATAACTGATTATTACCGTTTTTTCGTTTTCATCAGCTCACTAATATCCATAGGGATCCATAGAGGTGTCTCCGATACACGTGAACCTTTCTTCTTAACAGTCTTAATTCCAGAGCCATTCCCATACTCCGTTCGGTATGAGTGCCAAGATATTAAACCTTAATACCCCATCCGGTATGAGGGTGAAGCGGGCTGTCTCCATACCCCGTCCGGTATGAGCGCCAAATAACTAAGTCTTCATACCCCGTCCGGTATGAGATAACGTTCACGGTAGGGTTCCCTATGAACCCGGTCCGTCCACCATCTTCCAAGATATGTAGTGAGGCTGTCAACTTATCTATTTATCAGATCACATCTCATTCTTATTTTGTCCTTAATCTCTGTCACCAAATCAAACAGTAGTGAAGTAAGTGATACGTTCATTTAAAATCATAGAATAGATAAACCAGATACCATAATGCATTTAAACTGTAAAATAAATCAAACAGGAATTAATAGGTAATAATGTTCGGTTCGGGCTTCATTAGCAATCATAATTAATTATGCATATTTATTTAATTTGTACAAAATACAGTGTTATTATTTATTCAAACTTCTTATTTATGATATAAAATAGGATTGAGGGGTTCTTACTTGATTTGACGCCCAAAACTAGATTGTTACTGCGCTTACGGGCAGTCCCTGGTTCCCTTAATTTTTCTTTAAAAACTGAAACGTGCTTACGGTACCTACACATGTCTCAAATAACCCAAAAATCATACCCAAGCTACTCGGCCAATTTCAAAATTCTAGCACGGTGGCTTTGCCTCGGGTTGACTGTTTTCGGCCGTTTTCAGTCGAATTCAGCCAAATTTGTATCGGTTCCTGTAAAAAAATACACTTAGGGCCCTCGGTGGGCCAGAAAAACATAAAAAACTAAAACTCACCGGTGGTGGGGCTCTCTGGTGCAGTGGCTCCTCCGGCTCACATTACGGTTGGGTGTTTTACTTTGGTCAACCTGTAGAGAAGGAAACGGTGATCACAACGATGGAAAAATCACATCGAACGGGAATCGAAAAGGGCCTCATCAGAGGCGAAAATCGAAACACCTCACGGTGGCGCTGCTAAGCTTCGGTGGCTTTTTCCGACCAATTGGCCGGTGCTTTCGCTCCGATTTGGCCATAAGTAGGTTTGGAATCAAATTCTGAGCAAATGGTAGAATTTTTAACTCGTTTGGCGGCAGAAAATTGCTCCGGTGCGGCGGCGGTCAGCTCTCTGGCGGCTGGGCTGTCTTCTCCGGCGAGAGGCTCTGGCGGTTAGGGTTAGAGTTTGGGTGCGAATGAGGTTATTTATACTCATCCGCTTTTGATCTGAGTCGTCCATCGTTTTTAATCTGGACCGTCCGATCGCGATTAAATAGGGAGTGAATTTGGACCGTTCATCGTGATTCAATCTGGACAGTCCGTGCGTGATTCAATCTAGACCATCTGTGCACGATGCAATCTAGGCCGTCCGTGCGCGTTTTTTGATCTGTACCGTCCGTGCGCGCGGAAACAGATCTCAGCCGTTCGATCGTGCGCACGCAGATTGCCCACGTGACCTCCCGCGTTAGCGTCTCTGACACCTGGCGCGTCCTGGTTGGCCAGGGCTGCTGACCGGGCAGTTAACGTGGTACAATTTTTTTAAATTACGTTTTGACCTCCGATTTTTTATTTTTCTTTCAAAAATACCATCAGAATCTAAATTTTCACCCATTTTCTCCAAAATTGTTTTCAATTAAATCTCTAATTGAATATATAATAATGACAGTAATTGAATGACAATAACATAGAATTGTAATGACAAAATTTTTTATGTTTGAATGATGGTATATTAATATATGTTAATGACATATCTTTATTTAGATAATATGATTATATGATTATATTTTTAGCTAAATTACTAATTTACACCTACATATTGTATGTAATAGTAAATAGTATAAAAGAAATATGTAAAAAAAATTATTTATCAATATAATTATATTTATATTTAAATAAATAATTATTATACATAATTAAATTAAAAATTTATATTTAATAAAATAAATAATTATTATTTATATTATCACATTAATTTAATAAATTTTTAATTATCATGACATATATGAAATTAATTCAATTAGATGGGGTATAATAGAAAACAAATAGAATGCCCATCAAATACTACCAATTTGGTAGTTTAAAAATTTATTCCAAAATTTATTAGTTAAATAACATTTATTACCATTAGAAGTTGAAACAAATACGATTTTTTCACGTTCGTAAAATACTATATATTAAAATTCTATCATTTATTATTTATTATGATTCAAATACAAGGTAAAAAATAAATAAAAATAATAATATATAACTTCCAAATAATTAATTACACAATTTTATTTGAAATATAATTTGATCAAAAAAATTCGAAGCTTAATATTTTTTTATTTTTATTTTGTTACTGAACCAAATAATTGGCTGACGCCTGCATCAATCAGTGTTCAATAAACTCCTCAAAAAGCTCATCAAGTTAATCTTTGCATCTCTTCCTTATGCAGATATGGTGTTTGATCAAATTCCCCAACCAGATATTTTCATCTACAGCACCATGATCGGAGCAGATTCATGATCCATCTCTGGAGGCTTCTCCTAATCGTTATTCATTTGTCTTCTTCCATGGAAGTGGTTAAGAGAGCTCGATCAGAAGATCTGGAAATACAATATTCCCGGTATGATATAAAGAGGGAAAGTTCTGATATAATCATTATTGGAGCCCGTAGAGCTCTTGGAAAGGTGATCGTCTCCTCCTCTCTAAACCTCTTCCTCATTCTTCAACGAAATCCATTTTATCGAGAAAGAGAAACACAAACCATTCAGTTGACCAATGATTGATTAAAAAAAGTAATAATAATATTCAAATGATAACATATACAGTAATATCCAACTCAATCCACAACCTCTTGCGTATAAAAATATATATATATTAACTATTCAGATAAGTATTTATCAGTAAAAAAAATAATTAATTAGATAAATAAATTTAAATTATAAAAATAATATTATAAATAAAATGTAAAGAGGTTAATATATTTGATATTTTTTTTAAGTATATTTTAAAAAAATTTAAATAATACAATTGATTAAAAAATTAACTAGCAGTCAATAACTGTTGATTAATTTAATAAAAATAACTATAATAATTTTATAATATAAAAAGTAATTGAAAATTTTAAAATATATGGGAATAAATCTATCTTCTATCAATTTTGAGGGTTGTCTGAAACGACCAAAAATACTGCCGTTTTTTAGGAACAAAATAACAACGATACCCTATGCAGGTGACGAATCAAACCAACCTTTCGTCAGAAACCTAAAGTGCGTACAATCCTCTCTGTCTCCGTTTCGATCTTCATCTCTTTAAGTCTGTGATTGTAAGCTTCTGTCAACGTTGTCCAGAGGTCAGCGTATACCTGTACATACATATTTATATTTATTTGAATTGTTTACACATCTCTGTTTTGTCAGTTCTTGAGTATTCAGCTTTATTCTTTCCCCATTTTAGCTTTGCTAGTTGAATCTTTGAATTCAGCTCCATCGAAGCTATACCTTGTGTCAGTTCTTGAGTATACAAGCCTTTTCTTTTTCTTCTAATTATTTCATTTTGAGGAAAAGATTATACATATCTTCATTTTGATTTGCTAAATAACAACGATATCCAATCGTGATGCCTTTGCTGCCTGTTGGTTCGATTTCTTTACTCTTTCGAGATTCTATATGCTTCCTGCGTTTGACTACGTCGTTATCGTCGTTCTTGTGGGACTTCTTTAATCAATTTATCGGCTAACCGTTTTAAAGAAAGACAGTGAAGCAGCTGCATTTCACTACTGTTAGTCTCTCAACTCTCAAATGAATTTGTAGTTTGGTAATCGAACCACTAAAGGAACTTAGGGGGTTGTCCTTTTAGCTGTTGTTTCCTTTTCTTTATTGTTGGAAAAGAAAATTTTAATACTTTGAAGAGTGCAGGT